AAAAAAAAAAAAAGAAGAAGAAGAAGTAAAAGAAAAAAAATACTGTAGCTTTTTACTGGGGAAAAAAAGCTGCCTTAAGACAAAACGCAGGGCAGCCCGCCCCCTCCCCTCTGCGGCCTCTGCCCAGGACAGGGTGGGGGTGGGATCGTGGCAGCTTCATCAACAAACAGAGCGTTTACCCTGGCTGCACAGAGGTCCTGAGGTTTAGTGGAGAGGTTCTGAGGCATCTCTCGGCAGCGAGTGGACAGGTTGAGAATGGCCGTGGCAGCCATGTGGGCCGCCTCCATGTCATGCGTGTAGTCAAAGCTGCTTTTGCTGCAGGTACTGCTGGCACTGCTGCCGCCCCCGCAGCTCATGTTGCTGCTGCTGCTGGGGGCATAGCTGCTCGTGGTGCTGCTGGTCGGGCTCGAGTTCTTACAATACCGCTTAGCTGTGGGGAGGCACAGGAGAGGGAGACAAGGGAAAAGGAAAAAAAAAAAAAAGAAAAGATGACTCAAAAGACCTAGCACAGTACGCAAATGAAGCAAAGCAAACCAAAAAAATCCTTCTGCTGTCTGCTTTCGCCCGTCTAGTCTATATCCTAACTTCTACTAGTTGAATTTTTAAAAAACACACATTAATATCAACCTGGGGGCGCGGGGCACGAGATCCTAGTGATATCACTGGGCTTACTTATGAAAACAAAGACAAAACCCTCTGGGTTTTTATTTTTTAAAATTATGTTTGTTTGGATGAGGAGACGGTTGGGGACTGGGCAAGGATGAGAATATGTGCTTGCATACATTCGGTAAACAGGCTGTTTATTAAGCCGATGCAAGCAATTGCGTATAAATAACACATTTAAAGGCATACACTTGGGAAAGATTTGGGCTAGAATGATGTAAGGAGGGGAAAATGACAGGGCACAGCAGTCTGTTGGAAGGCCCAAGGGAGTCAAGCCTTTCTATCCACTCTCTTAATTGCTTATTAGCTCATTTGGTGATTGGGACCTCCTCAGATCACTCATCTGTCAAGCGATTGGCTGGGTCGAGGCCAATCAGAGCTCACTGTTGAGATGTGGAGGCGACCCAGATTCACAGGACACCTGGGGGCCACCTCCTAGGCCTGCTAGATGGGTGCATTTTGGGAAATTGATTTCCGGCCCGGCTTACAGAGCATAAAATGTAACTGGAACTCTTTTCTTCAAGAAAATGCTTCTACAATTTTAATGAAGAGCCAAGCCAGTGAAATAGCGGTGGATGAGTGGGAGAAAAGTGAACATAAATAAGCTCAAGATAAATTTTAAATAATGCAGAGTGGCTGTTCAGTGGAACTCAGATAGGTAGGGCACATACCACATGTGGTACAGTCTCTTTATATTTAATAGCCTGTCTATCATCCAGCACTGTGCTTCACTTATGGGATTCTGGTTGCTTAGTATTCTTTTCCCAACAACCATCACCACTAACAGCCAAACAGGCACTTAAGAGCAAGTGTTATTTTTTAAAGCTGTTTAAAAATTTCCTTTCGTACACGAGTAGGAAAATGTTTGGATCAATGGCTTATTATGATGGGGTCTTTTCTTTACTGATTTATTATCAGTGACAGGTTCAGCTAATGTCACAGGATGCTCATTTGCCCAAAGGCCAGATATTTTATCTTGAATTGTTGGAGTAAGTACTTAAAGGTGAGCTTGGAGGGTTTAGGAAGAACCCCCACAAAAATACCTCCTTCAATGTCCTAAATCTCTCCATTAGAGAGCCACTCCTTTTATTAATCATGGCAGCTTTGAGTGGTTCTCTCTTTAAAACCCAAATATATTTTAAGAAGGCACACTGCCTCTGGAACCTTATTTCCAAAGCTTCCCTCATCTGCTAGCATGAGGGTGTGGCCTGACAGGAGGATGGGTGCAGGATTGAGAGTGGGGGGAGGGGAGCGTTCATCTAAAGAGAAAGGAACTACTGAATGCCAGCTTGTACTAGTTTCCAGTTTTGCTTAGGGCCTGCCCTGGTCTTAATAGGCAAAGCCCTAAGTTAGATACTTCTAATGGAAACTTCTATTATTGCTATTGCCCTAAGGAAGAGGAAGAGAGGGATATAACAATCCGACACTAGTCTCCTTGTTGTTTTCCATATTGTCTCAACCAATTCTACAACTGGAAGCCTCCCTCCCACCCTTCAGAAGGGGTTCTTCAGTGTTTTCCTTCCCAAATGAGAAGAAGTAAAACAAATCTAAACAAAAAACCTTTTAACATAGTTAACATAATAATTGTGAGAAATATTAAGAAATTACCCTCCAAACACTTTATTAAAATACAAAAAAAGAATTACGTTTTCATCATTGATTAATTTCAGTTCTAGACTCAAGAATGTTTTAATGATATTAAGAATGAAGTGCGTTATTTCTACTTTTAGTTTGGTAACACTTTTAAAACAAAGGCAACCACAGAGTTAGCAGGAATGTGATGACTGGAGTCCCAGAAGCTGGGTGGGCCAACCCCAATCTCATTTCAGCTCTCTGCCAAAAGCTCTAAAGCAAACCATATAAGCAAGTAACTATTTTATCCCCAGTTGCCCTGTATGCACCAGAGCATTAATTTAATGACAACCAAAAAAAAAAAAAAAAAGAACCAAAAAAACCAATGAATTACAATGAGTAACTTGTAGATAATATTACTTCTATTATGCTAATCTAAATTAGCATGAAAATAGGGGATAATTATCACACCTGTTAAGGAGTAAAAGCATTATTGGGACAAGTGTCCAACAACCTGTGTCCTTTCTTTTTTTCTTTGTTAACGCACCTTGTATAAGTAGCAAAACTGCTACTGGTCTATCTGAGCACAGTCTCTCTGGGGTCTTTGAGAGCCCACTGCTGCCCACTCTCTAGATGTGCACAGTTCCTCATACCAGAGGGGTCCTACGAGTATGCAAAGCTGTGGCTTGGGCCACTCCTGCTCAGACTACTTATGGGGATTCGAGGGAAGAAAACTAGAGGGACACAAAATAGACTCTTGTGAGGTAAACTCCCACCATCATTGTGGCTCCAAACTGATGCCTAAACTTGTTAAGTAAGTACCATAAACCACACTGAGACCAAACCCAAACCCACTGCCATTGGATTGATTCCTACTCACAGCAACACTGAGATAGTACCTGCTAATTTGTAGTTTGTGGTACTCTGATATGGGCTAATGTTTGTGGTCTTACACTGTTTAAAATTCTCTTATAAAATTGAAGTATAAACGTTGTAGGAGAAACAAAATAATACATATAAGAGGACTTTTTTGTTTCTTCTCCTGGTGAGGGCTAGCCACTCATTCAAAATACGTGGTTCACATAAATAAGAAGAATAACATAGTTTTGAAATAATGAATTTCAATTTCTTATAAAAGAAAAATTAAAGGGACAACATTGCAAATCTATGTAATAAATTGAAACAAACATGGATCAATTTGTAGTAGAGCTATTATTCAGTTCCAATAAGGCCCAATAAAGGATGATTTACTGTATATGGTGGAGATACAAAGACTGTGCTACTTACTCAGGGGAAAATTAGGTAGTTCATATTGTTAGCTTCTCTCACAATGTAATTACCCTGCACATTGGAATAGCCCTGAATAGTTTATAGGATGCTTTATGATTATTTCATTTAAACCTCTCTGTCAACCTGTGTGGTGCTGCTATATGCTTATTGGATGACATAGAAACTAAGGCTTAACAAAGTCAAGATGAAAGTCTACAAAGGGAAGGGCAGGACTGGGGGAAGAAAGCCAAATCTCATGTGAAAATATTTAACTAATATGGTTCTTTTACATCATTAACATTGCTTTTTCTCATCTGCTTGAATTGCCTTAAATTATTTTAAGATTCTATTAAAAAAGGCATAGACAAATGGTAAATTTACTTTAACAAATGTTAGAATCAAGATTGTGCTTCTCCTGGGTTATGTCAGGTAGCTGTGATGCTAATATGATTTTAGCAAATGATTAAACTGTCAATAATTTGTTGATGAACTTACCAATTCAAATCATTGAAACACTCACTTGTGACAATACTTTCATTTGTATCTTTTAACAATCATATCTTTAGTTTATTTAAAATTAAAACAAGAATTTCTATACTTTAAATCTTCTAGGAAATGAAGATCTTTAGTCCTAATGATTGCTGCCTATTTGAAAATGTTTGTGAAACTATTATTATCAGTAATCATGATGACCACCTTTGAGCATTTAGTCTGGACTTTTCTTCCCTGCTGCTTTTTAACAGGCATTGCAATTTGACATCTGGGTGGGGGCCGGTGCTGCTGAGCAACAAGCCTCAGGCAGGGAAGGTGATTTTCAGGATGCTGCTGCTTTTCTCATCCCTCCTCCCCAATACTGACTGAGCCCCTACTTCCTCAGATTAGAGCAGTTTAATAGTGACAGGATGCACTATCTTCTTTTGGTAAACAAAAACTATAATCAATCAAATCATTTTTCATCAATCAGCAGACAATCAAACCAAAAAAACAAACTCACTGCCGTCAAGTTGATTCAACTCAGCGACCCCTCCTTGGGTTTCCGAGGCAAGGCGGTATCACTACGGAAGTCGATTGCCCAACCTTCCTTCCGAGGCGTGGCTGGTTGTTTTGAACCGCCAGCCTTCTGGTTAGCAGTCAAATGCCTGAGGAACTACACCACCAGAGCTCCCAATCAGCAGACAAGAACTTGTTAATTTTCTTCTATGTGGTCAGCATATTACTGAATATTATGCGAAATATAATTGCTTTTACTCTAGAATGCCACAGTTGTATATGGTAATGTCAGCAAACCACTAGATACTAGATCATACTGAGAAATACCTTCTCACTTGTCCTATCCCCTCTACTACAGGTAAAAGGAAAACTCTCCAGGATTTGTAGTGGTTAAGTATAGCTGTGCACATGAATTAAAAAAGAAAAGAGAAGAAACAAATTCCAAACAGAATAGTTTTTTTAATCTACTCTGCTTGTGAGAATCTTACTAAATATGCATATTTCATTCTCCTACTTCCTTCTACTCTACTTTCTGCAAATAGTGCTGCTGTTTATGTATTAGCATTTTCCTTTAGAGAAATTTCTTACAATCCAAAATTCTATGGAAACCAGACAAAAATGAATATAAGCAAAAGATATCAGTCATAGTTTTTGCCGTATGGGACCTGGGTAATATTTAAGATTAATTAATTTGATACAGACCTTGACTCATAATTTATGACAATAATTCTCATTGTTTTTACATAGACTCATGTCTATGCTTATCATAAATAAAACATGGATGAAAAATCTTACATGGGAAAAAAAGACTTTTTGGTAAGAATCTCCATTTTAGATATTCTCTGCAATGCAAATATTTAACTTACATGATTTGAACTTACTTCAGATCCAAATAAAGATTCTTGATTTCAACCTCTTACTAATTACAGTTAGTAA